CAAGATCCTTCTGGGCAGACCACCTGGGGCTGGGCATGCAGCAACCTCTAGGCACTGCTTGGTGGGTGCAGGAGACAGACTCAGCCCCACTCAAAGGGGACCGTAACAGTGTTTTCACATAGGGAAATGAGGCTGAAGTGAGCAGGATTTTGAGTGGACTGGTGTTGAGTCACTTCAGATCAATATACGTGCGACAGAAAACTCAAATGTGAAGCAGTGGTTGCTGTGTGTTCCCTCCTGTACTGACACAGTTGCATTTGTACATTCAGTCTGCACACATCTGTGCTAAGGACCATCTCAGAGGGTTGTGTTTGCTCTGTACATACCACACCTGTATGTGCACTCGTGTCTATTAAACACTGTACCAGTCTGTGCTGCTCCTTCCATTTTTGCCAGTGATTTAATCGCAGGAATAAACCCTGCCAGTGCAGCAGAGCTTGGTCTGTGGTGTCTGCTTCTGCTTGCCAAAAGGGCGACACTGATGTTGGGTGGAGGGTTTATGCTGCTATAGCTGCATTGTGCAGGTTCCCCTGCAAAACTCATGCCCAGGGCTGTGGGCACAGCAGCACCTGAGCATTGGGACGTAAGGGTGGCAATTCAAGAGTTACAGGGCAGCAAAGGCAGAGGGGGATGCAGGAATTCTCTGGGAACCCCTCTGGGGCTGCAGGAGACCCAGGACATCAGAGCAGGCCCTGATGAACAGAGCAGCATGATTGTAAGGAACCAGAATGCTGACAATTTATTATTTAACACTCTTGAAATATTTATAAATGGCACTTGTGTGTATGGTTGTAGCAAACTGGGGGAAGGAGTCCTGTGGTTAGGAACATGTGTGGACTTTCAAAACATTAGTGCCTCTGTCATCCGAGAAGGAAAAGTTTCATCATCAGCAAAACCATGGAAAGGGATAGTTTTATAGGTTTGGAAATGATTCCCATAGTCCTTTTGGCTCTCCTGTCTGGTGCTAGTTAGTAATGAGCTTCAAAGTGAAAAGTAGGTGGCACTTGGGGAAAAACAAGTTGTTCAGCAAAAAAAAAACCCGACTAATTATTACAGTGAGCATATGTGAGCAAAGCAAACTATCCAACGGTGTTACCATTGGCAAAGTTCCTTCTTGGCTCATCAGGAAGGCTTTTGTAACACCCTGAACTGTCAGGTGTTCTAAGCTGCCTGTCACTGGCTGTTGATGGCTGTGCCTCAGGTGTGTTGTTACTGCCTCGCACAGCTGGAACCTCCTGAAATTCCACAGGCCGAAGAAATGCATTTCACCAGATTAAAACCGTGCAGCTGTGCACTGCAGGCACGGGATGGGAAAGGTCTGAAGTCCTGCTCCTGGAACTGTGCATCAAGCCCCTGGCAGGGGTGCGGGATGGTGATGGGCACAGCCACCACCTGGGACGCTGCCTGTGGGCGGCATGTCCACTTGGCTGAAACATAAGCTGCAAGGTGGGTGTCTGGGCTGAGAACTGCCGAAGGGTTTGGGGGCTCAGCTGTGCAAACCAGGCATGGCCAAGCATGCTCCCTGCCTGGTGGGGCAGTGCCAGCCCAGACTCTGAGGCAGCCTCACCATGCTGTGCTGTGCTGTGCCAGCTGTCCTGTGCCATGCCAGGGGACGCTGGGCTCTGCTGCAGGGATGCCAGGCTTGCTCCTGGCTGTGGTCCAAGCCCCTGTCTGGTTGGACACCGGATTATTTTAATAATCTATTGCTGATATGTTAAACAATTTCAAGTATCAGCACAGCTGCCAGGCACTGGCAGGTCTCCAAAGCAGGATAAGAATCCTCAAAGCATCTCATTCTTGGTAACTATTTTAGTGTGGGCTCCTTGGGCTTCTCTGGGAACAGCACAGACTACTTGCATTCCCACAAACAGCTTCAGAGCATGTTCTACTCAGTAATTTACATTTTTTAGAGTTTTTGTTTGTACTACTAACTGATTGCTCTATGAAACACGTTTTCCCCCTAAGCCTGATGTTTCTTTTATAGAGACCAATTAACTAAGACATTGTTTTCTTCAAGGAATGAGTAATTTTAATTTCTAGTAATTTTTTTTCAAGCAGTTGGCTTTGCAAAGAGCTTTTTAAACTACAAAAGTTTTGCTTTCTTATAACTTTTTTATTGTTTCCACGTGTCCACCTCTGACACGTTCTGAGGAGGTGCTCAGGGATTACACCAGCAGCTCAGGTATTGATGAATACACAGAGGTTTTAATGCACATGAAATCTGCTCCCTTGCCCCATTTTTAATTCTCTAATCCAGTTTAGTTTCTGGTTTTCAGGCCTAATTGCTGAGTCACCAAATGCAGAGTCACTGCATGGTTGCTTTAATCAAGGGAAAAAGACAGTGCAGAGATATTTGTAAGAAAAAAAATCCCTGTTGAAGGAAAGTTTACACTCTTTAGGAAAAACAATCCCTGAAACCAAACCAAGCAAGTGGAAAAGAAAACAAGGGCAGTTGGAGGAGTTCAGGGAAGGTGGGCCAAACCTCCGTGTTTTCAGTGAGCAGGAGAGCACCCAAGGGTCAGGGCCCTGAGGAGCTGCGGCCAAGGCTGCTGTGCTGGGGAGCTGTGCCAGCCCAGAGTGGGGAATGGGACACGGGAGGTGTCTGGGGCTCTGGGAAAATAAAAACCAAATCAGGTCTGGTTCAGAGGCCAGGAGCAGGAGCAACACAGTGGGTGGATGGTGTGGGAGGGGTGACAGACTGCTCCTTGTCTTGATGGGGTTGGGGTCTGGTGGCTCCTGGGCACCTCCCAGCCAGGGCAGGCTGACACCCCCTGCCTCAGGGCCATTCAAGCTAAGGGCATCCTGTCTCAGAGCTGTGGAATATAACAGGTGCCTCTCTAACTGCATCTTGTCCATGTTATCAGTGCCCAAAATGAGAATGCAGCATCCCTCGTGGGCATTCCCTTGTCACAGACCAGCAGAACACCACCCAACCCAGCCCTGGGGCAGGTCAGCAGCAGGAGATGCTAAAGGACAATGTAGGACGGGGACATTTGTCATAAACACTAAAGCTGTTCAGTCCAGGGATCTCGGTGTGACACTCAGGGTTCGGTGAGCACTGTGGGTCAATTTCCAGGCTGGTGGCAAGAGGACAGTCCCTCCCTCAGCTGCTGTCCTCAAAGCTGCCGCTGCTGCTGCACGAGTGGAACCTCATGGTGCTCAAGGGGTCCGACACATACCCTGCAAGGTGCAGAGAGAGGGTCACCTGTGGCTGGGCACAGCAGCAGTGCCCCTGTCTCCCTGTTCCTGCAGTGGCAATAGGATAACCTGTTGTGGTGCTCTGTGAGCTTGGAGCAGCACCCTGCATTAACTCACCATTTTTGTCCACGGGTGGGCACTGGAAGCTCCTTCTCATCTCATCCAGAGACAGGTCCTGAGAAGGGGGTTGCCCAGTGCTGCAAATTAAACAGCAGGTGTCAGTTCAGATACGACTGATGAAGGCATGTCTCCAGAGTACAAGAACCTTTTCAACAGAGTGAAAGGAAAGGACAGTAGTAATCATGAGACATCAGCCTGGAGTACAGCCCCTCTCAGATCCCAGTTAATGGGAGCGAATCAGGAGGGCCCAGCTCACTCTGCTGTTGCTGACTCTGACTGCTGAGTGGTGCTCAAGGATGAGGTTTGGACTCATCACAGTGCTGCCTCCGCAGGATGAGGAGCACCATTCCATCACCACAGCATGCTTGCTCCCCATGGGATAGAGATGAGAGGTTGCTATGTTTACCCTCAAAACCAGCTCTCCCAGTGATAAGGTACAGGATGCACCTCAGTATGAACAGCCCCAGACATGCTGACTCCCACAGATCTCTGTGAGCCTCTTCCTTACACTGGTGTCTCCTGCCTCTGTAGCTGCTGGAAGGCTCCAGATTCTATCTGTCTGTCTGTCCATCTGTCCCTTCCCTTCTCAGCACGGATATCTTCACCTTCCCCTGCTGCCCTCCCAAAGGCAGCCTGGGCTCTAGGCTCTGTGATGGGCACAGGTGACAGCACAAGTCTGGCAATGCGCTCTCCTGGTCCTGCCGTGCTATGCCCCAGCAGCACAGCCTGCTTCCTTCATTCAGTCATCTCAGTCTGAGCCTTTCAGAGCCTCTCTCCCTCCTCTGAGCCCCGTGGTGGCTTGTACACACCCCTGTGACCAGACAGCATACGCTCGTGTGTTCAAGGCATATTCCAACTCGAACCGACTGCGCAGAGCGGCGACGTGGCTGCGGCCGGGACCCCCCCGGGCCACGAGGCAGTCTGAGGAGGAGGAGGGAGACAGGGACCCGCTGCTGTTGCTGGAGGCTGGAGACATTAACTTGAGTAAAAGAAGAAAAGGTACTGTTACTGCATACTTACAAGTGCTTTCTCTCTCTCTCTTTCTCTCTCTCTCTCTCTCGCTCTCTCTCGCTCTCGCTCTTGTAAGTTGCGTCCCACTTTTCCTTGGACTCATCCAGCAGCTCCAAAGCCACCTCTTCTCTCAGCTGCTGCCGCAGTCCCTGTCCCCCCTCACCCTCCCAACTGCTTGCACACACACAGACCCCCATGGTGGGAACCAGGTTCTTACCTCGATATTGCACAGACACTCCTCTAACTTAGTGACAACTTCTGAAAACTCTGGTCTCCCCTGCAAACACAACAGCAAAAGCAGAGCTGGGTAAAAGGGGGCAAATCTGCTGTGATTAGACCAACACACCGGCATGGGATGAGTCACATCCCCTCCATTGTCCCTCCCCGAATTTCATGGCATCTTCTGTCAGTCTCTGGGTACCTGATGGGAGCTGCAAGTTCAGTGCTGAGCTATGAAACAAAGAGGTGTGCGTATAACAACTTTAACTGCAATTCATTTGTCTATCTGTAACAATCAGATTTGAGCTAATAATGACTAGATCACAAGATGACAAAAACACCATCAATAAAATTCTGGTTCTGCTCTTTAGGTTGGCTTCCTCTTTGCCCATGAACAGGACTTTGGACACAGCAACTGCAGTGACAAGCAGTAGACAAGCTCCTGACCAACCTGCCTGTAGAGCCATCCTCCTCCCCGCTGGGGCTAAATGGGCTGTGGAAACGCTGACAAGACACAGTCTGCATCCATCTCGGTGCTTGCTTAAGCCAACACTTTTAATATGACATCTTACTAATTAATTTAAACTGAATATGTGTTACATGCTGTCATTAGCAGTTACTTACAAACACCTAAGAGCAGCAAGGAGTTTTCTACACCTTCAGTAATAAGTCAAGTCATAATCAAAGTTACATGATTAAGTTTCATTGCATGGCTAAATGTCAATTTACTTTCCTCCTCAATTGACCAACTCTCCAGTATTTCCTGACACACCTTATTATCTGTCTGGGGGCTCTATGCAGTGACCCTTCCCATTGAAACTGGAGTTTTGGGGAGGGAGAGCCTACGCAGCTGTGACTGTTTTCCTGCTGCCAGGGGCACTCACCTCGGGACAGGCATTCCAGCCCCTCATCAACAAGGCAGAGATGGGCTTGGGAATGGAGTAACCGATGGGTGGGCGGATGTGGTGGTATGCCATGTCTGCTGCTGCTGCCGCTGCAAGGGACAGCCCAAGAGATCCGTTAGTGCCTGCACTTGCAGATCCTGGCAACACACCTGCTCATCACTGAGACACCCAGCAGGGATGGTAATGTGAGCCATCCAACCTGTGGATAAAGGCCTGGAGGGTTTTTCAATCAGATGAAGAAGAGCGAGCTGTCCATCAGCATGGCCACAGGCTCACTTCTGACCACATACAGACAGCAGTGACGGTCTCACTGGCAGAGGAGTCTGAACCCTCCCTCCTTACCTATACTGGTTCTGACCATGTCCTGCAGCACTCATGACCTCTAACAACTCCTGTCATACATCCAGGGGTCAGAATCTCAGGAGTGCAAAGTGCAGCCCTGGAAATGTTGCTCTGCTCTTGGTACCTCACCGTGGTGTGGGTGCTCTCCTGGGGTACACCAGGAGATATACCAAGGAATGGCTTTGCAATCCCAACACTCGTGTGAGAAAAAAAGCTGCAGTCAGAGTGACTTGTTCCTAGACCTGGATAAGGAGTTGTAAGTTGTGTAGCTCTGCAGTGAGTAATATACATGAGTACAGTGGGATAGTTCTATGCTTTTCACCAAATGCATTATCTTAGCACTTAACAATACACTTCAATGAGATATTGGTTAAAATTACACAGTGCAGCTACTTCAGAGAAATTTAAAACATTAATTCATTGAGCATCTTACCTGGTTTCAGGTGAGCAAATGGAATTTCCCCCGTTAACAGCTCCCAGAGGCACAGAGCGTAGCTGAAGACATCGGCTTTGATGGTGTACCTGGTGCACTGGGTGAACACCTCGGGGGCCATCCAGCGCAGGTTCTGCGCACCAGAAACGGCAACCACGCGTTAGCAGTGTCTGCTTCCTCATATCTGCATCTGTCCCTGCATTTGTATGTTTGTTTTCTTATTTCCTGCCTCCATTGCTTCACAAAATAACTGCTAATTTGCCAGGAAAAATTTTCACAAGGCATGCACAATCTAGTCAGTGTGTTACTGCACCTGATACATAACTTGATTAGCTTGGTGCTGTCTCAGCCCCACACAGACAGGCTGAGCAGGCTGTAAGCCTGTCAGTAGGGTGAGAATAAAAGCAGAATCCCAGACTAAAGGCCTGGAGATCACATTGTAATATATAGTCTAATAAAAATAAAATATTATAATAAAATTATAATATATTCATATAGTAATTTTCTCCTAAACTGGGTATGCCTGTATATTTGATAGTAAGTTCCACAGAACAAAACAAGAGACAAACCCCAGGTTGTTTTGTCATGTTGTCCTCATCCAGGGACTGCAGAAATCGAGATTCTGAAACAGAACAAGAGAAAGAATTGCTGCCAGCCCAATACAGACTCAGACACACCCCCTTACCTTGTTATACAAACCCCCTGCATTAAGTGCAATCCCACAGGATCCTCCCAGTCAGCACAGATTTAGTTTTAGAGAATCTAGGGTTAATTTACAAATGTTTCATGTAAGTCCTTACCTCCAAAATCAGCCACTACTGCATGACCATCCTCATACAGGAGAATATTGTGACTGGGGAAAAAAAAGAGTTAATTGTTTGACAGTGTCTTAAAAATGGTGAAAATGTTAGGGTTTGGGTCATAGCTAAACTGTTGAGGAGTTCAAATCACCTGCATAGGTAATTAATGTCTATAGCTACTTCTCGTATTTATTGTTATATTCATTGTCTCTCCTTAAACACCGCCAGGGACGGTGGTGCTTCTGGGCAGCCTCTTCCAATGCCTGACAGCCCTTTCTGTGAACAAACTCTCCCTGATGTCCAGCCTGAACCTTCCCTAGTGCAGGATCTGACAAGCCAATGCTGAAATGCTCATCTTGGCACTGAGCACATGGCTGGACACATCTGAGAGCAGGAGGCAGGCTCTGGGAGGGTTTTGTCAGTCTGATACCTCCAGGGAATGCCACAGTCAGTGATATTTCTTTTCTGAAGTAAAAAGTACACCCCACAGAAATAAGGCTTGGAAGGTTCCCATCAAAAACATCTGCTTTGAGAAATACAGCAAGAAAAATCTGAGCTGAGCTCAGCTGGCAGAAGGTTAATAATGAGTTCAGCAGAAGCAGAAATTGTCTTCTGTTAAGGTCACACAAGGACTGCAATGGTGAGAGCAAGCATGGTTCTCCTCACGATGCCATGGAAGGAAGAAAAGAAGGGAAGACTGAGGAGTGTGCAGCCATCCTGGCTTTGTGAAAGAATGTGGTTCTGGGGCCTGCCAGGGGCAGTGGCTTCTCCCTCCTGCTGCAAGCAATGAGCACAGCATGTCCCTTTCCCAGGGAGCAGGACCATGAGAAGATCCTTCTGCCTTAAACTTGCTATGGGTTTAATGAAAGACAGTGGCTATTTTAATATTTCACAGGGGATGTTTTAACAAAGAGGAGTTGCAGACTCCATCCCCCATTACCACCAGGCTGCCATCCTCTCTTTCATCTCCCTCACTGAGCAGCTCTCTGAAGCGTTTACGGATAGTTAGAGCCATCAAATGCAGGTCAGTGGCTCAAAGGCTTGCTCCAGCCATGTTCAGCTGCTATGGCTTAAATTAAATTGATACTAAAATGGGCTCTTTTTCATGAAAGTGCTGTAATCATCGCGGCTGCCATCCCTCACCATGGTGTAAGTAGTAATAAGCTGATACGTGTCACCATTGCTGATAGCTGTCAGAAGTGAAAAGCAAAATAAAACTCCCAATTATTCTCCAAATGGAAGGATAACCCCTTCTCCAGGGTAGAGACATGAAAGATTCATTTCCCTCTCTATTCTGTCAAGCCATATTGCAGATTTATTTAATGCATTATGTGTGGTGCATTGGATTTCAGAACTCACAAAGGGGGTTAGGAGCTATGTGAAAATTTAAGGTAAAAAATATGAGGCTCCTGTGAAGCCACTGGCAAAACTTAACATGAAATTTCACTCTTGGTCTTTCTCTTAAGTTGTTGCAAAGATTTTCATCTGGTAATTGTGCCTGTGGGCTGGCTAGAACTCACGCTGCAAACATCACTCCTGCTCTCACACTAAAGCTTCAGAAGTTGAGCTGCTCTCAGCACACACATCAGTGGCACCAATGTCCATCCAGCAAATTATCTCCTGACCCTCATAAATACATCTGTAAAAGTTCTGTGGGGCAATTACATGCTTTCTGGCTCTCTAGGGAGATACTGATTTGGGTTTTCTTTTGTGGGAAACATTATTTAGTGTAGAATTCTTCAGTGGAGAACTGTTCTTCTAAGGGCTACCAAGGCATGGAGCTGAGCCGTGGGGTGTGAACCATGGAGCTGAGCCATGAGGTCTGAGCCATGGGGTCTGAGTCCTGGCTGCCCTGGAGCAGTCCCACAGGCTGCAGCAGTCAGGCATGAGGCTCTCAGCTTGTACCGCAGCTGAGGCAAGAGCTGCAGCCTCGAAAGCAAAGCTCTCCCTCAGATCCCTGTGGGTTGTGGCCCAAAAGGAACCTGGGCAGGGACACAGGGATGTGGAAGAAGCTCAGAGAGGAAGTGGAGGGTCCCATTCCAGCATGCCTGTTGCTCTCAAGGGCTGACATTGCTAAGGACCATGTTTTGTTTTTAGCGAAAGGATCACTTTCATCTCCTTAGGCATTTTACCCCTGTCAACTGAAACACACACATCACAGGCTGTTCTCACAGCTAGAACAACAAGAAGAGGTCTTTCCCTGCAAACACTGAGGACTCAGTGCTCCCACTCAGATACCAACAAAGAGCTGGATGAGTGCCCAGTCTCTCAGAGAAGATCAATCAGAGCTGCATTTAGCTGTAACAAAGCAGTAAGCAAACCAAGAAACTCCTGAGCTCGGTGACTATGGAGAAATATTTAGAGTAAAAGGGACAAAGGGAAGGAGCTTTAGTGATGAGGGGAAGTGACCACCTGCTCTTTGACTGTACAGAAATGTGCTGAAATCCACTGAGCATTCACAAATGGAAATTCCGAAAGACCCAAGCATATGCAGGAAAACACTGTTTTTCAGCTACTGCAATCTTCAATGACAATCACGGTATGTGACTTGTAGGGGTTTGTATAAAACCTCTGAGATTGTTTGCAGTTCAGTGTTAATGAGGTATCACATGGTTACAGGGATCTGCAAGCACAGAGGAGACTGTAGAGTGTCACTGTGGCTTTGAGCCTTCATGTTCCCTGAATTTTCAGGCTAAAGACAGAGACTGACCTGTTCAAATCCCGGTGTATGATGGGCTGTGTGAGGTTATGGAGGTACTCCATGCCTTTGGCCACATCTACAGCAATGATCAATTTAGACTGCAGGTCAAGAGTTCTGTATTTTGGAAACAAAACAGAAAATTACTCCACGTTAATAAACAGTCAAAAATTGTCTGTAAATCGTTTTTATCTGTAAATCAAAGAATCTCCTAAAGTGTTTCAGAAAATAAAGTTATATATATATCTGTGTAATGTATGTGTATATATTGTAAAATAACAACAATGACAATTTTGTGGTTACTTATCAATTTCCCTCGTATACCCAATGAACTGAACCAAAGCTCAGCATTTTCTAGCGTGTTCCTTTCTCTGTTGCCTTATCCTGAAATGAACATTTACATCAGCACAGATTCCTGAGTCTTCCAAATTCAGTGCAGCAAGCCTGAGCAGAGGATGAGGGAATACCTCTTCTGCTCATGGAGCAGGGAGAAGAGGGATCCCCCCGAGATGTACTGGGTGACAATGGCAAACTGGCTGGGGTCATCTAGGCAGGCTCCCATGAACTGGATAACACACGGATGGTTCAGACGGCAGAGGATGGAAACCTCCCGGCAAAACATGTCCACATCGGATTTGGAGCAGTAGGTGTTGGCTCGGTAGCTTAGAATTGACACAAGAGGAAATGGAAAGGCAAAAATACCATAAAATTTCATAAAATATGGGCTGTTTTAATACTCCAAACCAGGGGATGGAAAAGCCTGACAGACATACCGTTTGATTGCAACGATTTTATTCCTGCATCGTCCCTTGTAGACTTTTCCAAAAGACCCTGAAATAGTTTGGAATAAATAAGCACAGAGATGTTTGTTGTGTACATCAGACATCTAAAGTGGGTGAACTTTCACTTGTGGTACCTGAGCCAATAATCTCATGGAACTCTAGCTCAGAGAGCTGCAGGTGGAAGTGTGACGGCAAACTGGCACGGAGGAGGAGAACATCAGCCTTTTCTGCAAGAGAGACACCTTGTTTGTAGAGCATGGGGCAGGGGAGGACAGAGCATAAAAGCACTGAACTTCACAAAGCCTTGCACAGGGAAAGCTGCTTTTCCCCTGTAAATTGGCTGCTGATCCTGTTCCCTTTCTTCTGTTAGTGCAGCAAATCCCAGCGACAGACAAAACCTTGCCATGCCACAGTCGCCTTGGGCGTTCCTGGCTCTAACACCCTCTCAGCCACAAGCTCTGTCCCTCATTCCCAAACTCTGCCTGTGCCATGGGATGTTTGTGCAAAATTCTTTACATGGAGGATTAGTCCCTTTTTCCTGTGTAGCCAGAGCTCATTGCTGCTGCCAGGGATGCTATTCTAGAGCTGACTGGCTCTTATGGCAATGTGAAATCTAAATTTTGCAACTAAATTTAATAGTCAAATATCTCTATCTTGTCAATTGTTTTGGTTAATTACTATAAAGTTTATCAGAATATTTCTAAATGGAATATTTCAATGCTGCTGTGTAAAGGACATAAGGATTTGAATATATCCAAAGTGAACATTTGAAGGGGCAAATTGAAAGCACCACCAAAAAAAAAAAAAGGAAATATTTTAAAATACAAAGATTTATCTGAGTGTTTCATCTGTGTTTGTTTCAGAGTAACACAAATTATTTTTGAACAGAATTTTTCTAGTAAAGATAATCCAGGCATTTTACAGTGGGATTCAGTATGATATTCGTTTGCATTCATGGCTAAGTGGGTATTTCATTAGCACTAATTCATATCGCAGCCTTTTCTCAAAGAAATAAAAATAAATATGTTCTTAGAAGTAAATGAAAATAAGCTAAATACAGGAACTGTCATTGTGCTGAGTGAAAAAGCGAAGCATCCTGTTCCCTAAAATTATCCCAGGGAAATGGAGCAACCAACAATCAAAATTCTAGGAATAATGAACCCTGGGCAGGATGTTCAAGCTGACAAACACATTTGGTGAAAAGACAGCACAAGTTCAAGCTTTCCCTTGCCATTGCAAATACCTTTTGTCATGCTTTTAATCTTGCCCAGAGGGGATGGCACGGACACATAGGAACCATCTGAAATAAAAAGCAGAGTGAAATTCATGGACCTCAAGGACAGCATGTCTGTGCTGATCAATTAATGAGGCAGTGATGGCTGAAAGAATGAATAACAAAGGGTGAGAATATGGATAAACACACAAACACATCTGCTGTGAGCTGGTTTGGGCTGGGATACAGTTAATTTTCCTCACAGGGCACAGCAGATCAGGGCATAGAGAATAAAATGGTTCCTCAGCCCTTACCTCCTCCAGGCTGGGAGTATTCATTGCAGGGGGATTCATCCTGAGGTCTCTTGTAATGCTTCAGAAGGGTCACAATGGCATCATGACCTAGGAAAAACGAGGAAATTTAAGGATTTGTAGGTAAAGTCAAAGTCTGAGTCATACAAAATCAGGGGCTTAAAAAAATGTACAATGTGTCTATAAAATATGCAAACAGACATGGTGGTGCTAATCTGAAACCTGCTGTGATTCCTAGCTTCAGCAATACAGGAAATTCCTGCCAGTGAAAACAACCATGTTATTTCCATGAGCCCACCTACTCCTAAAACATGAGATCAGCAATGGTAAAACCTGCTGGAACCCTGCAGTGGAAGTTGACAACAGTCTTCAGTGGACCTGACAAGGAAAACCACTGCCTGAAAATATTGGTTTGGAGTCCTACTCAGGACAAACTCGTGCACTTATTGCTGCAGACAGTGGCTATGCTTACCCCTCTCCCTTGCCAGGCACCAGCCAGAGCTGGACCTGCACAGCTCAGGTGTTTGATGCACAAAACTCTGCCTGGCAACATTGAAATTCTGCTCTAAATTTTTCCAAGATGAGTACAGATTATTTTGCCAATATCAGTTTTTGCAAAGCCTTTCAAACTCCCAGTTTTACTGTGTTACAGTCACAATCCCAGTCAGCAGCACTGCAGGGGGAATGTCCCAGAGCTCACTGAGTCAGAAACAGGATGGGAGCTGCTCCCTGGCTGTCCCTGCAGGGCAGAGTCCTCCTGTTTTGGCAGCACAGAAACACTCCTCTCCTCGAGCTTGTGCTGCATTAAACTGATGTGTAACAGATCTGAGAAGACAAATCAAAGGGCTGGGGTTTATAGCCCTTTGTGCCAAGCACTGGAGAGCAGACAGTGACAGCTCTGTCTGCAGAGGCCGAAGGGTGATTTTGCAGTGTTGTCTCCTTCCTGCACAGCTCCTACAGATTTTGTGGCAGAAACAAGAAAATTGAAATACCTTTCTCATAAGCCCACATCAAACAGGTCTGCTCATCGTTCTCTCCACTGGACCTGCTGGGATCACACGCTACCAGATTCATATCAGCACCATTATCCAGCAAGAACTGCACGAGGCGAATGTGGCCGTGGTAGCAAGCACAGTGCAATCCTGGAACATCAGAGAGGTGTAGGGACACAACTGTCAGAACAGGGCAACACAACTGCAGCAACTACTGGAAAGTGCAAATTGATTTCCTTGATAAAGGAATATATTGTCAAAAAAATACCTGAGCCGAGAGGTGAAAATTAAACATTAAAGCTGCAAGAACCAAACTAATGCCTCTGCACAATGTGTCAGCATTTACTCTGCTACCTACAAACCACACTTAATGACTCTGTACGTGAGGAAAAGCAAGTAGAAAAAAGGCAACTCTTTGTAGCAGGGACAGGGAGGTGTGCAGCCCTTCAGACATGAATCCCAGAAGCCTAGCTCGTTGAAAAGTAATTCCTAGCACTACTTAGAACCCTCAATATGGGAGGAACAGTTTACACCAGCTTTTATTACTCATATACACTCTAACAAGCCTGACACATCCTCGCTGAAGTCTTATCACCTCTATGGCTGGCTGTAAAAATACTTCAGAAAGGTTGTGTTCTGTCTGAAAGGTACTTGGGTCACCCAATTACCCTGGAATTACCCTGGAAAACCTGCTGGTGCATGGTTTCCCATGTTTTTGGTGCTGTACATGCCCTCATACACAATAAGGACAATGATGTTACCTGTGTGCCCATCTCTTCCCTGGTGATTGATGCTCACAACATTCTGGTCAAGAAGAAACTTGACAAGTTCTATGCTCTTTCCATAGGTGCAAGCACTGCAGAAGGAAATGGAGAGGTGAATGCTGTAGTTCATAAAAGGAGAAGCATTTTGGGGAGCCAAAATTACAAACAATCACACTGAGATAAAAATTAAATAGTAGAATAAAGGATCTTTAGAAATGTGCCAATGCATGATTAATCCAACAAAGCTAGTTCATTTTTATTGTTTCAGAAGCATTCCAATTATTGCTGAATGAATTAATTTTGCACAGCTGTGCAAATAGTCTGTTGCAAAGTGCCTCTTAAACAGCCCTTTACAAAATTCCAGTACCCCAACCAAACCATATGCTGCCACCTGGCTTCCTCATTCAGAGGACCTGGGAGTACCTGGCTCCAGCAGGTGTCCAGGGGGAACAGGCTCTGAGCTCAGCTCAGTCTGGACAAGGACAGGAACCACTGTCCATCCATGTGTGGGTGAACCTGGTGCATTTCTTCCCTTCCTCTCTTACTTGTTCTCTCTCTGCTTATTCATTGTCTGGTTCTACCTCACCTCATGCCCTCTCCTGTACCTCCTGACACAAACGTGCCCTCCCTGTGGAGCTCCCTGCCTGCTCTGTCCCTTACTGGGCTGCTGGTGAGACATCTGCAATGTCGGGTGCAGTGTCTCCTGTGTGTGCAAGCAGAGCTCTGCTGACAGTGGCATCTGAACACCTCACCTGTGGAAAGCTGTTTCACTGAATATATTCTCTTTAGTAAGACTTTCTGTTCCCGAGAGCTGAATTATTTCCTTGACAACTTCAAACTTCCCATTGTAGCAGGCACTGAAGAGGAAGGCAGAACAGACTTGTTAGCAACAGCAGCCTTCCCATGAGCCCCAAGCCTGTCAGCAGCTGCCCTCGGGCACTCACAGGTGCAGAGGAGTGTCTCCGTAGATATTCACCATGTGGGGCTGCACTTCAAAGCTGCTTTGCAGTAAGAACTTCACGATTTCGTGGTGCCCAAACCGAGAGCAGAAGTGCAGAGGAACGTGATCTTCGTTATCCTGAACATTCACTGCCAGTTGACCCAGAAAGAGACCACAGGAAGGCTTTTATATTTAACACAGCATGTTTGGGATGTTTACTGATGTGTTGTGCCTATACATTTTGAAACCTTCTGCTAAAATATTTATGGACCTATTGTTTAAAATTGAAATTCCTGTGAACTTTCATATATCAAACTCCCATTGCTCTGTGCCATCTGCAGTGCACTGTCAAGGTGATTGTTTGGACTTGGGGCATAATTGCTTTCTTCCAGCAGCAGGTGCACTGAATGCTTTGATGGAGCTTTCCATGAATGAGTCACGTGTTATAAATGACCTTAGAGCAATTGGGAAGCCAAAGTAAGATAATAACATCACCATGACTGGGAACCTCCAGGCAGCACAGAGCCACTAGCATCTACCAGTAGTAGCATACTCTTCTAAGGGCAGTCGCATGGACTGCCCCTGGAGGATCCCTGATCTGCAAGTGGGAATTGTTTGAGGTTGCCAGCTATCCTGGCCACATCCATGCCAGGGAGCCTTCTGTCTGTTTATGGGCTGAACAATTGCATTCCAGCACCTCACATGGGTATGGAGGTACCTTGCATGGCTCTTCCTTCACCCGTCCTGTAGAGAGTGAAGAGACCGGACAAGGCTTTAAGCTCCATTGGTACAGACACCTAAAAATACTGTTTTCCTTATCCAGAAAGGTCTTTAGTCAGCTAAATTACCCACAGCAATTACTTCTGTGATTCTTGGTGTATTTCTTCCTAAGTTTAAAGACAGAACAACCATAACTGATTGATTTTGTAACTGAGCAATGACAAATCCAGTGTACTTTGTGCAACACTTGGTTCTCATTTCAGCCTGGCACCAGGTCTTTAAGGCAGTTTCCAAGAAATGAATAGAGCACATGGGAATATCTGTCCATTGGAGGTGTCCTAACCTGTGCTGCCAGGCTTTTATGCACCACTCTGACAAACATCCCTCAGAAACATCCTTCCTACAGCTGTGCCTCCTCAGGACAGAGACTAAACCAACCACATTCTGGGGGTCTGTCTTCTCTTTGGTTGTCTGTGAGTATAAAGAACAATGTAAATTAATTAAATCCCTGTTTTCAAACCTTCCTGAAATAATGCTGAATGCTCACATAAATGGACAGTGCTTTGAAATGAGCTGAACTTACAACTTCCCTGATGTCTGGTGACAGAGAGCTCCAGAGATGAATCGTGTTTCAGGAAAAAAAAAAGAATGAAGGAATTCCTGCAACATATATCAATCTTGTGGCCCACAAACTTCATTAACTGCTCCCACTAACTTTCCTTGCAGTCTTATATTATAAGGAATAAAGAAAAGTAAACTCTTTTGCTTCTCCATTCTAAAATAATTCCTCACTTTATAGCTTCATGTGACATGTTGGCCTTTATTTTCCATTAGGATGCAGTACCAGGCTTTCTGGTACCATTTACCAGATTCATTCTGAAGTGCAAAAAATAAGATGGGAATAAATGTCAAAGATTTATAATGATAAATGTCAGCATTTTAGATTATGTCCCCACAGAATGGCCTGAAGGACATCAGGGGCCTCAGTCTACAGCACAACAAAGTGGAGTGTGGAGCAAGGAAGGAAATCTCCTTTGTTTATGCAGTTGGAACTGATGTTGAATGCCTACAAATGCTTTCCTTTGTCTCTGGAAGGATCTGTAACTATAGCGTGGGATGATGGGTAGTATTTCAATTGATAGCTTTTCAATCTCTAAATGAAACATACCAGGTACGCTGGAATATTGTCTTAAAAAGAAGGAGAAATTCACAGTCAAAACAACAGAAAAATCAGTAAAAAACCTTAGAAGAGTGTTATGGAGAAAAAGGACATACTATTGATCCAAGCATTACTAAAGAAGAGTAAAGACGAGTTCTGAGTTTTTAGAAGAACTTTTATATTAAATTGAGGATAGAGGGTACAGCTGTCCTGGCAGTCAAGGACTGAAAACTGAGGCTGCCTTACAAGTAAACAATAAAACTGAGAAAATGCCAAGTTCTTGTCTGGAACAAACTGGAATTCTGTAGCAATCACTCTTAGCACTGAGACATGACATATGTAGAAAGCAACAGGTGAAACCATGACTGTAAGTGTAAGGATGAGAAAGGACAGTGCAAGAAATGTGCTTGAAAGAGCTCATGGCATTTCTGAAAATACACAGAGTTTACTCAGTCTTCCCCAGAGTGTTTGGGCTAAAACAAACGACGGAATTGGCATCTGCTGCACTTTTAACGTTGGGTATATCCATGGGCCATGTGTAAACCAGGAACATTTGTGATGACACATACAGGGACAGCATATTTCTGCTGTATGCTTATCTTGTAATTTGTGGCTGGGCTGAAGAAGACCTTTGGCCATCGTTAGGCTGCAAATATTCTTTATTTCAGCAGCATTCTGCCCTTTGCAGCCCGACCCGGTGGTCACTGTTTGTCTTCAGTCACTGCGGTCTCGGCGCTGACTAACGAGCCAGGTTATGTTAAAAGAAGCAGTTCAGGTTTGTGACCCCAATTAGTGGTCTTCACTGAACACTGTCAAATTTATTCAGGGCCTTTCCCAATTCCTTTCATTCTTGGCTATTGAAGACTTGTTCCTCTGCTGCTGCATTTATAGCAAGTTTCAAAGGGAGCTGCTTTGAGAGCAAAAAGCTTCCCATGTCCAGTCTCCCTTTGCTTTTCCTCTGCTGAAGATTCTGATTTTAAAGAGAAGGACCTGAAATGGTGCCCCAGATTCCTTCCTTTTGGAATAAACTATCTAAAGGAGAGCAAACCTCCCACTGCCTCATTATGGTGAGTGAATGTCTCTCCTTTCCCCTCTTCAGTATAATTGTATCAGCTCAGAGCACACACATTGATGTTGAAACACTCAGAGAAAACAGCACGTACAGAGCTGGTCTGCTGCTTCCCTCCACATGTTTCTGCTGCGTGAGGAGGACGTGTGACTGCAGGCAGGACTCACACAGAACACGGCAAATTGATGTATTAAAAAGCAGTGCTTTTTCAAGTAATTTACTGCTCCTTCCCAAAAAAATGTCTCTGCCTCTTACTCTTAGAACAAGAAATTTATTTCCAAGGAATTTGGATATTGCTCAATATTTCATAGAATCATGGAATGGCCTGGGTTGGAAGGGACCGTAAAGCCCATCCTATCCCACCCCCAGCCATGGGCAGGGATGCCTCCCACTAGCCCAGGTTGCTCCAAGCCCTATCCAACCTGGCCTGGAACACTCCCAGGGATGGAGCAGCCACAGCTGCTCTGGGCAACCTGTGCCAGTGCCTCAGCACCCTCACAGCGAAGAATTTTTTCCTAATATTTAATCTAAACCTACTCTCTGTCAGTGTGAAGACTTGGGTGCCTCGTCCTGGCACTCTCTTGTAAACAGTCTCTCTCCACCTTTCTTGTAGGCTCCTTCAGGCACAGGTAAGCATCTCTGCATTAATAATCATAATATGCATCAAATGCGACCACTAAGTTTTCACACTTGTACACCTTTGTAGGATGTGTGACTAGCGTCAGTTGCCCAAACACACCACACACACACAGTGTGTGTTAGGAAGCTAAGGCTGTCTATAAAACACAATGTTAGAGCTGACTTTAAAATATCTTTTCTTACCATCAGCTTTGCTTCCCTCTTCCATCAAGAGCTTTGTGATGTTGAGAAAGCCTTTGGCAGCAGCCAGATGCAGAGGTCTGTCCCCAACTTCACCACTGGCATTCACATCAGCTCCAAACTTCAGTAAGAGGTGGGTTACCTAAATATTGCAATAAGGCTGATTAAACATGGAAATTAAATTGCTGAGAAAATCAGATACAATACTGCATTGGGTGATAGTACGTGTGGGCATCCCTATACAGGTAAAACAGGGACAGTTTAAATAGAAAACTATTTTTTTAATTACATGTCTATAAAAACATTAACATTCTCAGAAGCAAGTGCTCATCCATTCTCCAGAATGTTCTCTGTGGTGAACGGGCACCATACATGCCTGTGTGAATGAGCAGACAGCAGAATAAAACAAATGCCCTCAAAGTCCCCAAAAGCCAGAGCTGTGGCTCCTGTCTGATCTGTCCCTTATCCCAGAGCCCCACAAGAGCTTTCAGCATCCTCACACAGGACTGTGCCCATCTGTCCTGCAGTGGCTTGTGGCAAATGATCAAACTAATCTCTCAGCCCACACAGAAGGAGTTTCTTCTGGATGATGAGGTGCACAGATATGAAAGCAGCTCAGGGACATGTCCCCTTGCTCACACCCCTGCTCTCACTCAGTCACAGGGCAGAGCATTTCAATCATCAGGGCATCTGCACTCTGCTTCCAAAAGCTTTTCTTAGACAACTCCTCAATGCACTTGAAGTAGCACATCACTGGAATGGAAAATACACTCTGCCTGGAGGTCATCCTTTGAAACACCCCAGAACACAAGGTTTTCAGACAAGGCAAGGCTCAGGGAATGACGTGCACAAGCCAAACAGACCCATAACCACAGTTCACATGAAAGAGCTGTTAAGGGCGAACGACACATGGATTGGCCATGTGTCAACTATGCTGTTCAAACACACAGTTGAAAGAGAGCTGGGAGGGTCAATGCCAGCTCTGGCCAGAACTCCAGACTGTGTTTCAATAAGTCCGTGATCCCTGTGAGTGGAGCAAACTCAGCTGTACTGGGGATGTGCACAGCACCTTAGGGAAATTCCTGCTCTCTGAATGACCATTTTCCACTGATTGAAAAGTTTGTGAATCCCAAGGATGATGAATAGAATTGCCATTTAATTATTGCTGGAAAGTGATGTTCTCTTCCTTGGAGAGGTTCAGAAAGCACAGTCACATTCCTTAGGCAATCTCTGACATGTGGTATGAAGGAACAGCAGAGGACAAGTGCTCTGGGCCCTAACCTGTTATCAGAACTCCTAGAGAACCTTTCACTTCAAGAGGCCTTGAGGGCAAAACACCAGTTTTTGCTGGAGTCTAGTACAGAGGATGGAAGTGTAGAAATTTCCTGTTGATATTCTGACTCTTAGGTTAACCAGAGCTGTGTAGTTATGCAGAGCGTAACCTCAGTGTACAAGACCTTTGCATGGATGGAGCCTCTGGAACGTAAAGCAAACCCATCTAACACTAAACCTATGGGGCCACAGTGTTGCCCTGCCCAGCTGTGTGAATCCCCTGAGTTACCTGCTCGTGGCCATAGTATGCAGCAATGTGAAGTGGGGTGAAGAACACTGCATCCTGCACATTCACATAGGCTCCATGCTGCAGGAGAACATCCACAGCCTGCGAGGAACAGCACGGAACTCCAGTCAGTACCACTATGTATATATACATGTATGTCAGCTGGTGAAATAGGACTTTGAAACCTCATGTCACTAGTTTAAAAATAGTCAAAAATCCCCAAACAAGCAAGCTATAAAGGTGCAGAGCTGTGTACATCATGTAAAAGTGATTAACTTACAGTACTTTAACTGAACACTGAATGTCACTGATGCTTTATAAATAAGCCTGAGAATTGGTGTGCCAGTAAAATCACTGATTTATGAAGTAAAAGGCACAGAAATGACTGCCTGGATTTTCTCAGAACCTTTAATTTTCTTTTAACCATTATGCACAAAGAGCTGTAAACATATCAGAGTTCTTCGAAGTGAAAAAGTCCCACAAAATGAAAGATGCTTTTAAACACAAATGTGTGAACATAAATCCTCAAATGCAATTCCCTCAGCATGTAAAGATTTCTCTGTATTTTAGAAGATAATAACTCTTTGGCTTCAATAAATAACCCTAAGTGTTTTCTCTCAAATTTCCACTGTTGTGGTCCTTCAGGAGGCAAACGTGTTCCTGGGCAGCTGCGAATGCTCAGGCAGTGACTTGCTACAGAGCTGCCAAACAAGGAGGCTGAATGAAACCACTCTGGGCTCCACACTGCAGTCCCAGGGCTGTTGGTTTGTCTGCAGCACAAGGCAGTCTTTGGGCACATGAAGGGCTTGTGCCAAGGGCTTGTGCCAAGTATCGTCCCAGAAGGTCTACATATCATTTCGATGGATGTAAGTTTCTGAGTCTAAAGATGATGAAAGATACTGGACCATGAGTCACACACAGTACAGTGAGGAACTGGGATCCACCTCCCCACAGAGGGGAAGGACTGGCAGGGATGGGGATGTGGCCAGTTGCTGCTCCATGCTGCGTGTACCTGTACTACCTGTACCTGCCCATGGAGACCCCCCTGAGGATGCCAGCCAAGGACAGCTGTGGTGACACATAGGTCTGTCCCTGTTTTCTAGGCTGAGACCCTCAGATCATGTCACACATGCAACAATGGGTCCAGCCATGTCAGTCCATGTCACTCCCAAGTGCTCAGAAAACGCAAGCTGGTTTTGTCAAAGTTGTAGCTGTTGGCTCTGAAAAGAGATGTTTGGAGCTGTGGCTTTTACACAAATAAGGCTGAAACTTCTTTGGATCAGTTTGGTTTTAATTTAGCCGTGAACTATGAGGCTGTAACGCACTTAGGGATGTGACCAAAACTCCTGTTCTCCTTAATCTCTTTGGAAGCTGGAATTCAAAATTTAGGATCATCTACAAGCTTCAAGGTGGATCTTCAAGATGAAAAAGCTGTGATGTGGATCCAACTCTGATGATGAACATGAAACCAGATGAATTCTGACATGTTTTCCAGGCTGCAGCAGTGGCAGCAGCACTCACTGCTGCCTGATCTCCTGATAAAAAGAATTCTGTGTGTGATATTAAGCAAACCCCACTCAAGTGTAAATGATGAGAGGGGTGCAGAGACAGGCTTGATTGCCTCAGACAAGATATCTTTCTAGGAAAGAATAAAGGAGTCTTAGAAAGCACTGAAAACTGTCATGGGCATCACAAGTCGGGGTGGGGAAGCTGGAGGGATGTGCAAGGATAGAAATACTTCAGAAACTAAGGGGGAATTTCTAATGCAAATAGGGCTTTACATTCTTATAGAAAGGCAAAAATTAATTTTATCCTCAGGAGATAGACAGTGAATGAAGGTGCAGCTCAACCCAGGGAACATTCCCAGGCTGCAGAGAAAGCAGCTGGATGGGCTTGGATGCACAGATATATGGCAGTGTCCTGGCAGGGTTGACAGCAGCATAGGCTGTAGAACAAGGGGAAAAAATGCTTTCCTTTTCCTCACACAACCAACTATTCTTTAATCCAAAATGATACTTTGAGCACTTTGTACAATACTCTCACATTGTACAATACTCTCACTTTGCAATTTTTCTTAACATTCTCTTCTGAAAGGTTTTTCAGAAGCTTTTTGAACATTCAGGTCAAGGATGTTCCCACCAAAGACTAATAATTAAGCCACTCTGAAGATTAGGAGGAGACAACAAAATGCAACATGAGACAGACATAAGGATTTTGTGTTTTGGACAAGGGCAAGGGATAAGAACTCCTCCAAACAAACAAGATCAGTGATTATTGACTTTATAGCAGGTGAAATTTAAATTTGAAGACAATTTCAGCAATTGAGGCCTTTGCATAGTGTACACTGAAATCTCTACAGAATCACTCCTTTTCCCCACCAGGTCTTTGGCACACAGACACACACTGCAGGCCCTCAGGTGTGCAGATGCAGAAGTTTAGTGGCACTGGTCCATCTGCCTGTGACCCTCTGTCCAGCTCATGCATCTGCAGGAGTTGCAGTCTGAGAGTGACAACTTTAATTTACAGCAGGAAATAGGCTCTGGCACTGCCTTTCCAGGTGCTAATATCAGGCAACACATAAATGTGGATGAGGCATATGCATTATTTATTTAGCAGTGACCTCCCTGGGCTGGAAACATTTAATGTTTTCAAAATAACTGACTTAATGAGAGATTTATTGAACTTATTTGCTGATGTTTATAATACGGTCATCAGTTTAGTTTATAATTTTCCATTAATTTTTCATTTTTTTATTTATGTATTTTATATTTTTTCATTAATTTTCATTCTTCTGATTGAGAAATGCAATTACCATTGACAGGTAAAAACAGTAAACAGCATAGTTTTGGTGAAGTGAAACAGATCCCAAAGGCATAGAGCACATGAAATATTTATGCACCACACTGGCTCAAATGAGTTGCAACATCCCATTGATGCTGATGGCCTCATCCCAGGGAACTGATCACTGCAGTGGTTTTGGGTCTGGTGATGGAGCAGAAGCCATAGACTGACTCCTCAGGGAAATGGGGACCAAAGCAGATAGTTCCCAGTTCTATCTTTCTCCTAAATATAGTCAGTCCTCTCCTGTGGTAAAAGACTATGTTGCATAGATTGGGGTGTGCTATTTATTTAATGGTATAAATAATTATTTACCTTATTTGAATTAGGGAGACCAAAAATTGATTTCCTCTTGCCTAAATTTATTCTACTTATTAGGGAGGTTGAAAAAGTTATTCCATATTTCCATGAATATTAATGAAATGGTGCACAAAATAAGCTACTTAATCTAGCAGAGGAGCTCCTAAACTGACTGAAAATTTCACAGCTGTATAAAGGACAGCAGGAGCTTGCACTTGGGCTATAAATTCTCAGTCCCCAGAGCAGCAGAAGACCCAAATGAGTTGTACAGATTCACACTCCATTTATGGAGACACTTCTGATACAGATCTGATCATTCCCAAGGAAGAAATAAGGGACTATTCAAAGCCGCTCAGTTTATTTCCTACCAAGTTAATGGGCTTATCCTTGTCGGCTTCTGAGCACCCTTATTTCTCCGTAGCTTCCCCAGGAGCTCAGGACATGGGAGCAATACTAGGCCCGCCTTTGGCATTTGCAGGAAAAGGCCCAGACATTTTAAAAACCACTTGAAACCCCAGAGCACTTTGTACTGCCCACAGAGGAGACGTCAAATACCTGCTCCATCTCAGGGAACGAGACCATCCCGGAGTCACGAGCTCTGCTTAACAGCTCCACTGCCATTCTGGCACAGAATTGTTAGAATCCAATAATCACTAGGGTTGGAAAAGACCTCCAAGATCATCAAGTCCAACCTTTGATGTGGTGGATGTGGTAGCTCCTTTGTTTCAGTAGCAGGACGCACCAGGGTTAGGCTAGTAAGAGCTGTGTGCACTGGGAGGGAATGGCAGGATGCCCATGAGCTCAGAGGGGTGACGCTACAGCACAAGCTCCACTGTTTCACTTGCTCCCCCAACACTGCTGCTGGGTGGACATGCCAGGAACCTCCTGCCTCACACACCTGGAACAGATGCTATGGATTGATTTGTCCCTGACCCTGGTCGGAGCTGCTGACTGGAACACTGAAGGCTAACAGCTGTTTAATTGAGTTTCTTGCTGTGATCACCCATAGATTGTTCTGACCTTCTTACAGTTTGACCTTCCCCAGACACACAGACTCCTGGTAACCAGGGGCATCACTGAGTGTGAGTGCCCTGTCTTTAGCAAGAAGCACAAACAGGCCTGATGGATAGAGACCACTTTGGAACTGCTGTGGTGGCTGCAAGGTAAAGCTGAATTCTCCAGTATTTATTTAAAAATTAATTCTCAGTGTTTATTTAAAAAAATAAATATGTTACACTTAGGGAGCTGTTGCCAGGGTGATAGAAATGAGATGGTGTGTGAAATGGCTGAGCTGAGGTGGTAAATGATAAGAGAACAGATTCATGACTGACAGCATGCCTAGAAAGGCTTGATAACAGACATCTGGGGAATCTCAGCCCCTCTTCCTTTCTCTGCTCTGCATAGTGAGAACTCTTCAACCCACAGGAGACTTATCAATAAGGATGTCTGAGATTTATGCTAGACTCACCGTGGCAACAGCTTTCTCTGCACTAATCCAAAGTACAAAATAGCTCTAAACTGACAAGCTCAGTCCCTTTCTGAAGTGAAAATCACAGAGCTGTGAAGCAGAGCCTGTGACACCTGGAAGAGGGAGCAAAGCTCTTTTACTGTGCTCCCTTCACACTCAGAAAGACAGGATTTGCAAGACTCTCTCTGTATCCAGGTTCAGAAACCCAGACAAGTATGAGTGAGGGTGTTTCATCAGGTATCTCTTGGTTAACACTTCTGATACTCAGAAAACAGCACCATTTAGTGTCAAGCCTTTAAAGACATTTCTAGAAAGGTAAGAGATGTACAAACAGATCTGTGTCCTCAGGGCATGTTTGTTCAGTGCAAAAACATATGCACAGATGTGGTTTGTAAATCAATAAAATCCAGCTGTACTTAACCAGTTCTGAATTTTGTTTTGAAAGGCATCAAAGGAATTTAAAATGACCTGTTAAGATTAGCACTTAGCTCTCTAACTTCTGTAGAGCAAAAGACAGACATACCTTGTAGTGGCCAGCGATGGTGGCGACGTGCAGTGCCGTCAGTGCTCCATACCCAACCTGCTGTGTGTCGGCCCCACCGTGCAGCAGTGCTGTCAGCAGCTCCACATTGTCCTAAAGCCATGGATTGCACCCACATCATTCCTGGCACAAAACTCTCACAGGTGAAGGCAGCAGGACCAGCCTTGGCCTCCCTGGCTGTGACACTGCTGGCCTTGATGGAGAGGGACCAATGGTGGCCCAGAGTGCAGGGAGAGGTGTGGAGGAAGGTTCGTCCCAGGCACCAGATATGTCACTGCTGCTATACTAGAGCCTGTTATCTTAAAAGTCTCTTATCCTGATTTCTTGGTAGCACTGGACAACTTCTCTGCCTTGAGTTGCATTGTATCGTTTAATCAGTAACTCCAAAGCAATATCCTACCCATAAATGACACTGCAAAAGCACATACTGGTTCCTGTGCATGGGCTCTTTACAGGGCATTGCCCTATGCATAGTAAATGTGAAATCTGTAGAAGTAACAACTAGAGAGCTCAGCTAGACAATTCAGACAAATCAGCTGCTCAGTTCGGATCTGTCATCAATTCTATTCAAAACAGTTTACCTTATAAGCTGCCAAGTGCAGAGCTGTAAATCCATTTCTCGTCAGCCTGGATGGGCGCAGCCCCTTCAGCATGAGAGTTCTGATGTGTGATTTGTTGCCTTTACAGAGAGAAGTGGAAAGCAAGATCAGTTAGAGGAAAGAACATGCAGATGAAGTAAGAAGCTCCTGTATGAGTTTGAAAGCAAAGAAATAGGTAACTCAACTGCTCTGAGGCGAGCCATAAAATATATCTTGTGAAACCTTGAAATGATGAGGTTGAAACATCTCCTTGTCAGCTGGGACAGCTGTGGGTCTGGCCATGTACTGGCTCACTGCCCACAAGGATTTTGCAAGAGTAATTGAGCTTCTAGAGATGCAAACTCCTCCTTTAATGCCCACACCATGCTGCAAAGAGCTCCATGAACCAGAAGGTGCTCCCAAATCTCTGGGTCCTCAGCCACTGAGCTCTTTACCCTCTCAGAACTGAAGTACTGCTCTTCCTACACAGCATCCTTACAAGGACAGTTTGGAGGCTGCTAATAAGGGTCAGCATGGGCAAGTAGCCTTGCTCTAACTCCTTTGATGCACAGTGATCATCTCAGTAAATGCATCTGCCTTCTGAATACTCATGACAATAACCAAAGACAATATCAGATCTAGTAGCTCCTTGCCCTCCTTCAAGTGTTCACATGATTAATTAATAGTGTGTGTTTTCTTAAACTCCCTCTCAGCAATCCCACCAACTGCTCTGATGTTCCCACATACTGATGTCATGTTTGGATAGGATCTTGCACTCTGAAATGACGAGTAAAGATCCATTTAGTTTTCAGCAGTGCAGGATCAAGTCATTCTTCATGGTAACATCTAACAAAGATTGAGCAAATCATTTATGCATGTCATTACTTAAGACTTTGCAGAGCTGAAACCTCAGTGTAAAATTGTCTTTGCCTTCTCAGCCAATTTCTGCTGAAAATTGTATAACAAGAGCAAAACATGTGCATGATCTAATGACTGGCTGTGGATAACTGAGCAGCTGTGTGGATCCAAGTGGAAAATCCCACCATTAGTTTTTATGAACATCCCAGAAGACATCCTGCCTTCTTCTGTTTCGTATTCTGATCTGCTCCCTCCCAGAGCCCTATCAGCTGACATGTGTCACTAAAGCACTTGAGTTATTCTTCTTTTAATCACTGTGAGATCAAACACAGGTATTTGCACTGCACTAGAAGAACTGGTGGTGTAAGCGTGGCAAAGTGTTGTGACAATAAGGTCCCTGCCCTGGAGTCTGTACCATGTACAGAACCCGGGAACGTGGAGCCCCATGCTCTGTGATGGGTGCGGATTAATGCATATAGAAGCAATTTTGAATGAGTTGAACACCTGTAGTAGGAGCATGCTGCACCATCAACCAGCACCTTCCTCAGACTGAAGAATCAGCTGTAACAGGGTCAGTGCAACTCAACTCAATCCCCTGGCAACACAGCTTACAGTGATGCTGAGAGATACTCCTCCAGCTGCCTACAGGGACAGCACAGTGAGAAATTCCCTGCAAATCCATCCCTCCTGACAGATGCCAGCCCCAAAAAATCAGTGATCACCTCACTGAAGTGTTTAAGGTGGAGTTTCATTGCCTACCCCCACAGATGCAGCACAGGTGGAGCAGCGAGAGCCCGTTCTCCGTGCGGTAATTCAAATTGACTTTGCAGAAGGCTTCATCAGAGCTGAAAAAGGGATTTTACACGTGATTACTGCTTTCATCCTTCAGCACAGCTCCTTGCATTTGGGCAACATTCAAAAGCGAAATCTCAGTGTCATTTTTTTGAGACCTGAGGCTGAATTTACACCCAGTTTACATCCTGTAAATCTAGAAATACTTTACTGCTTATTAGGTGAGTGGCCCAGATTTACTGTCTTCTGAGCAACCCTGCTATTCAATCACAGTACATACATTCTAA